TGGGATGTTTTGTATTTTTGTATTGTAGTTCTCCATCATCTCATGTACATCCCATGTTCTGACTACTGCCAACGTTCTCTTCATGGTTAACTTTCACCCCACGCCTTGTCACTTCATTTCTGACCTGAAATTACTTGAAGTGTGTGCCTTATTAAACCTGCACATGATCCCAGCACAACTGTAACCTTAAGTTGTATATAGTTCTGTTGAGAGGCCTATATGATACATACAGTCCCTGACAAAAGTCTTGTCGCTTATCCATTTTGTAGAAACAAAAGCTTATAACCTGACTTTAAATTAATCGATTGGTTTTAGAAATGTCTCATATGAAAGCTAAAACCCTCCCAAATTATGCTCAATATACTAAAATAAATTTGCTTCACTGAAGAAAGATTGATAATTTAATGAACACAGAAAGGTCAATTTTTGGCAAGACAAAAGTTTTGTCGCCTACAGAAAATTGAACAAATAATTTACTTCAAATACAAAAATATGTTGCATAACGTCAGTGAATTAAGTCGTGGTGCTGTGAGATCCATATTTAATATCTTATATCTATGACTTCCATGAGCTTGAAAGACTGCATCCATGCGGTTCGACAATGATTCATACAATTTGTTGATGAAGTCATCAGGAATAGCAAAGAAATCAGGCTTGCATGCCTCCCAGAGTTCATCAAGATTTTTTGGTTTTGCCTTCTTTGCTTCCTCTTTCATTCTACCCCAGACATGCTCAATGATGTTCATGTCTGGTGACTGGGCTGGCCAGTCTTGGAGCACCTTGATCTTCTTCGCCTTGAGAAACTTTGATGTAGAGATAGAAGTATGCGATGGAGCACCATCCTGCTGCAAAATTTGACCCCTTTTATGGTTGGGAATGTAAGAGGTAGCTAATACTTCTTGATATTTTAGGGCATTGATATTGCCTTCCACCCTGCAAATGTCTCACACATCCCCATACTGGATGGAACCCCAGACCATGATTTTTCCACCACCAAACTTAACTGTTTTCTGGCTGACTCTTGGATCCATGCAGGCTCCAGTAGGTCTCCTGCAATATTTGCGGTGGCTGTGATGTAATTCAACCAAGGATTCATCTGAGAAATCCACCTTCTGCCACTTTTCCAGTGTCCATCCTGTTAGCAGGCTGTGGGCCTTGGCAAATGCCACACGGTTTTTTAATTGCCTTTTGTTTAGTGCTGGTTTCTGTGCACTGATTTGACCATGGAGGCCATTTCGAGACAGAATTTTACAAACTGTTCTGGTTGACACAGGGACTTGAGGTGACCAGGCCTGGTGGAGCTCTGCTGCAGTGGAAAAGGAGCTGGCCTTGGATTTTCGAATCAACAAACGGTCCTCCCGAGCAGTTGTCTTGCGGGGTCTGCCGGACCTGGGCTTGTCAAAAACATCTCCAGTCATTTCAGATCTTTTTCTTATTCTTTGTACTTGACGCTGAGACACATTGAAGGTGTCAGCCACCTCAGCAGTGGATCTGGTCTTCAGCCTCTTGATAATTAACGCTTTGGTCTCAGGGTGGATCTTAGGCATGTTGTCAGAGGTCAAGTTGCAGTTGATGTGAAGGTCTGGTGTGCTGGGGTTCTTTTTATACACAAACACTAATTGATTGATCAGTATCTGATCACAGGTGAGGCTGTAATCTAGGATTGGGTGCATCATATGACAAGGCGACAAGGGTTAGGGTTAGGGTTAGACAAAATCTGACCTTTCTGTGTTCATTAAATGATCAATCTTTTTTCAGTGAAGCAAATTTATTTTAGTATATTGAGCATAATTTGGGAGGGTTTTAGCTTTCATATGAGACATTTCTAAAACCAATTGATTAATTTAAAGTCAGGTTATAAGCTTGTGTTTCTACAAAATGGATAAGCGACAAGACTTTTGTCAGGGACTGTACATGATGACGCACAGGGGTAGCCCTACCTTCATAAAGACTTGACTGTTTGGTGCAATTCTCTAATGCTGAATTGCCAACATTTATTTTAATGTAACTATGGTTTTTGATTCATAGCCATTTAAAATGTTAATACTTATTTTACTATTTTCAAGAGTGTCACACTTAGTAATTTCCAGCTCTGGTAAATATTGTTTCAAATTATTTTTTTAAACAATATTTGCTGTATTTTTTTTTCCTCATAGCCAAGAATTCCCTTGCACTGCATTCCAAAAATGATATTAAATTACATTTCATACAATGGTACCATACTAGACATTAAACCAACACTGTTCTTGTGGAAATGGGTCAGGTATTGACTTTTGAGTTATAAATTATTTCATATTTATTCTGTCATGAAAGAACACTGTTATAATAGTATTTTATGTTATTAAGATAAAATGTGTCATGTCACAATGCTGCTGCTGTTATTACCCCAATTATAGCACATAGTCAGTAACCTCAAGATTGATCCATAAATCACATTACCAAATCAATAAATAACTTTAAACTTTGTGTTGTCTCAATAATTTATCACACTCTAACTAAATGCTATGAGTAAGAAAAGTTACTATTCTTGTATATTACCTATTACAGTGGTGGAAAATACCAACACAAAAGTAAAAGTACACTTTACAGTGTATTTTTACTTACGTTGCAACATTTGACAGCAGGTATATGTACTCTCAACACCACTACTCTTTATTTTATTTATTTATTTTTTTACTGTACTGAAAAAGTACTTTTAAAAAAGTTATTTTATTTAGGATGCTCATGGTCATCTCCAGCCTAAAAGTTTTGAACAAACAAAATATCCATTGCAAAAAAAAAAAAAATTTTTTGTCACTCATTTCAGAAGTTATATTTCAAGAGTTTATTTCTTAAATTTTCATGATTATGGCTTACGGATAATGAAAAGACAAAATTCAGTGTCTCAGAAAATTTGAATATTGTGTAAACGTTCTATATTGGAAAGTCATAGTTTCACAGCTCAACACACCTACAAATGTTCTCTCAGTCTGGGTCAGTGGGCTACACAATCATGGGGAAGGGCTGCTGACTGGACAGATGTCCAAAAGAAAGTTACTGACATTTTTCACAAGGAGGGTAAGCCACAAAAGGTCATTCTTAAAAAAAGGTGGTTGTTCACCGAGTACTGTATCCAAGCATATTCAGAGAAACTTGAGAGGAAGAAAAAAAGTGTGGTAGGAAATGGTGCACCAGCCAAGCAAAACCCATGCAAGAATTAGGAGAACTCATAAGGAGCGGATTGAGGCTGGAGTCAGCGCATCAAGAGCCTACATGGGACGATGTCATTACTGTCTTACCTGCTGTGGATGGATGGATTTTGCATGTCATTTGGAAATCAAGGTCCCAGAGGCTGGAGGTAGGGTGGACAAGCTGCTGATTTGGGCTGCCATGTCATCTGCTGATGTAGGTCCATTGTGTTTTCTGAAGTCCACAGTCAATGCAGCCATCTACCAGGACACATTACAGCACTTCATGCTTCCTCCTGCATACAAGCTTTATGGAGATGCTGATTTCATTTTCCAGCAGGACTTGGCAATTGCTCAAACAGCCAAAGGCACTAAAAGCAGATTACCTGAAGGCGGCTATCAAAGCATTTTCGCTTCCATTACACCTGAGCAGTGCTATAAGGTGATCAGCTCCATGCTACAACACACTGATGCAGTAATTCATGCCAAAGGAGGCCCAACCATGTACTGAGTGCATAGAAATGAACATACTTTTCAGCAGCCTGACATTTCTGTTCAAAATATCACTTTTTATTCATCTTATGTAATCTTCAAATTTTCTGAGACAGATCATTTAGTTTTTCATATATATATATATATATATATATATATATATATATATATATATATATTATATATATATATATATTCTCCTTTTTTCAGAAGTATTCATTTTACTTTTTACTTAAAAAGTAGTTTTCATTTGGTACTACTACTGGGTTTTGAACTGATTTACTTGAGTTATTATTTTTGCCAAACTATATGACTAACAGCAGTAATACTGCTGGTAAAAACCTATTAAATGAGCTTTGAGGGAGAAAAAATACAATATTTATGGCCAATTTGACTTTGAATATCATGTCACAGTGACTCTGAGTGATGTTCTATTTAGAGAAGCCATTGGCGCAGAATGGCTACCACAGCTCTACCTCGGGCATCTGTGGGCACAGAAACAGGAATGTCTCTCACCATATCATATATTCTTTCTCAAAGGCTGTACTTTACAGTGTGGGTTATGTGCTTGAGTTTTTGGGTCTGGTGTATTTGGGTGAGGGTTGTCCAGTGTCTGGGGGCGGATCTCCAGAACAGAATGCACAGGGAGTGTGGGGGCACACCATAAATCGGCCCTGTGTTCTCCGTAATGAGCACAGATAGTGGAAGTATGCAGATGCTTTCTTCCACTTCATCAAACAGGAGGGTGAATATAAACATATCAGAATCATCAATCGCCCATTCCAATCTTTGAACACAGCACCGTTTCCAGATCTCACTCTAGATATTTCGCATAATATGATTTTTTGTATAATATTATTTTGAACCAACACAAAGCTGACTGAGCAATTTCAGATTATCACCACTCTTTCTGTGATAAAAATGTTCTGCTATACATCGAAAGAACTATAGTTTTTGTACATGAATAAAAAAAATAGCTTCACAACTATTGCCCCTGTCCTTTAATAACCTTTATAATAACTAGTCCAACAACTCTAAATGAGTCAGAACTCGGCACAGGAAAGAACCCCCTGCTCTTATGGATTTATAGGGATAGCCTTGGACTTAGACTTGTTCTGGAAGAGCAGAGACCCATTTATTGCCAATGAGCAACTTTGTCAAGTTTGTGCTCATGAATTCCATATCAAGTGTTTTTCTCTTTTAAGTTGTGTGATAAAAAATACCCAACAAGAAGATGTGTTCTCATAATAAACCTGGCCCATTTAGAAAGCCACAAACACAAATCCTGTTAGAACACAAAAAGTTGTTGTTTTTATTTGACAAATACACAAAAAGTGACCTACAAGAATAAATAATTACATATTGTACATATTCTCACCTTCTATGGTTACACAGTGTTCTTGCATACAGTGATTTGTAGCCTGTGGGTTGTAAACAGCCCAGAAGAGGTCCATGAACAATATTGACAAACTATAAACAAAACGTAATGTTAGCATAACACAAAGCTCCTGCTCTTGTAGACTTGAACTTAAAATACCATACAGATAATTTGAAGGACAGAATAATCTACCATTGTCTCTGTGTATTATTATTTTAAAGGTCATTACCATGATAATGTAGTCATCGTGATTGTTGGATTTTGAATGGAGCAGAGTGAAATATTTGGAGAAACTGCAATGGCTGCTTCACTCTTTGTCTGCATCTGAAGCCGGGGCCCCTGTGCCGTCCTGAGAAAGCAGGTCCCCCACACTGCCACAGTACAGCAGAGAGCGCATAGGCCACTTCTGTATGACAGACACCAGGTAACCACTCAGTTAATGTAATTTCTGCCTAGGACAGTTAGTCTGTGAGGACCAAATAATTTTGCCAATAGCGCTTTAAGTTTTACACAAAGCCAAGGTAATTTAAAGTTAATTTACCAATAGTGACACACTGGTTCTGTAACTTTAGTTTCTGCTTTTGTATTATTTTTGCTAGCACATCTCAATGGTGATTGGGCTACCTTTAGGCATTCTGACCTTGACTGGATGCAGGTATCCGTCTGGTCGTGAGGGCAGGTTAAGCTCTGCTTGGGTCCCCTCCCGGTCCAGGGTCTCTGTCAGATAAGCAATGTAGTTGGTAGCCAGAAGCAGAACATCAAGCTTGGAGAGCTTGGTGTCTGGGGGCACAGAGGGAAGTGCTGCCTGTGGACAACAATGTGTTTGAGTTATCTATGTGGGTTTAATTCAGGATAAATGCTCTTAACAGTCAAACTGGGTTTTATTTATCAAACTGTTACAGTATGTGTTTCCACCAATAAGTTCTTGTTTTCATACTACCAATTAAATTCAACAACAAGGGTCTGTATGATGCACAAATGCCAGGACATGTTGTGTTTGAGAACTGATATGTTACACGAAAGAAGTAATGCATTTTACATCGTCAGTCCAAAAAAGCCATCGAGTGTGTATTGTTGGAGCTTCAGACAGAACACCCCTGTGTATTCTGGCACTTAAACAAAAGGGGAAGCTGACAGTGTAGTCTGACCTGCAGGCTGTGGAAGGCTTGACGGAGGTTCCGCACACGACTCCTTTCACGGGCTGCATTTTCTGGAGAGTGCTGACTTCTCTGGGCCCGAGGCAGAGGCACTGTGCCGGACTGCCCCTGCTGAAGGAACACACAAATTTTTAGGATTAAAAATCTGTGCAAATAAGGGCACACAATTTGTCTCCCTGCAACCACAATTCATGCAAATGCCCCCTAAAATATATAAAAAAAAAACTGCAGCCTTTAGTAATAATAATACAAGTTATAGTATAATTATTTAATCATTTTGATTTGTGTGGGTACAAATTTGTATGGGCACGACCCATTTCTGTGACTTGTATTTGAGAGTATTTGTAAGATTCATAGCTCACCCGTGTTTTTGGGCGTGGGGCCGAGCTCTTGCCTGCTTTCTCCCGCCTCTGAGAGTCCATAGTGGGGCCACAACTGAGTCGTTGCTGCACAGACATGAGCGCTTCCAGAGGATTCACCGCCATCCGCACGCTCCGAGGGCTGGCTCCAGATCACCACGGCCTTGAACTTGAAGAGTTTTATATCCGCTGGTCTGGAAAGTGCATGTTTCAGAAATTAAAGTAGAGAGGATCTGTGATGCTGAAAAACATTAACTGCCAAATGAAAAGTTAATATAATTTAGCTGAGTAGCACCTGATAACAGTGCGTCCCAACCGTGCATCTGCACAGCCCATCTGCCTGTGTCTGTGCATGTTACCTTATCGGGTGAGGTAATGAGGGGTCCTTATCTCTCTGCGCCGGCGTCCCCATCCTCCCTGGCTGCACGGCTGCCAAGAGGAGCAAACAGCAAGTTGGGCCTGGGGGTGGGGGGGTGGTCTCGGGGCACTGGGGGGCTTGGGAAACATGTAGCTCAGCTAACATCTGGACCAAGTGGGAATAGACATTTGGGGCAGTGTGACACTGAGGCACTAAATTGATGCAACTGCCCTTGAAATAAGATAATTATAGTTTCAATTATTGATAGGAAACATAACATTAATATTATACAAATGACTCTATTCTTTACTAAACTAACATCTACAACTAACTTATATATATATATATATATATATATATATATATATATATATATATATATATATATTATATATATATATATATATATGTGTGTGTGTGTGTGTGTGTATATATATATATATATATATATATATACACTATATATACACTATATATATATATATCAGAGTGCCACTGAATTGGTAAATTTAATATGTTTGTAATTGATTAACCTTTGTATTTTGACAAAAAACTTTATCAGATTTGCAATGTTTTATAGGCAATGGAGGGGAAGATACCAAAAACGTTGACTAATAGTAACTTTAAAGTCAATATTATTTTAATAACTCACTTCTCAACATAATTTAGGTTTACAAACATAAAATAGGTTAACTAAGATTACAGGTTTTATTTGGTTTGACACGCTTCTCTATTGAAAATTCAAATTTGCAAAACAGCTCACATAGAATCCCAAACAGGGTTTTCCTAAATAAAATTTAATCTTAAACTTGTTTTTTTTTTACCATCACAAACTCTCATGTTTTTTTCTGTGCTTTTCATTCATTTGACAGTACAGCTCAGAAGCCTTAGTCTGCTCTCAGGGACCACAGAGAAGCACTGGTTCACACTTTACACATATGAATTTGTAGATGAAGAATTTATTATTTGTTTTTTATAACATTTTTGTGAAAACTATAATTGAAATAAATGTACAAATTACTGATTTTCACATTGGATTTTACAGTATTTTATCCAACTATCCAAAAATTGAGAGGCTACAGTAGGATGTCTCTGTACTCATGACTCATGTGTGAAATCCTTTGTTGATGGATTTTGGGTGGTCACAAATATTTGCTTTTTGCGGTCATATTGCTATATTGAAAGTTTGGGCCAGCATCCTTTACAGAGTGAGAACAAATGTGTAGTATTGAAAAAACAATTCACTGATCATGTACGTTTATGAATGAGACCTGCGCCAAGTGTGTTGAGAAAGAGCCTGAGAACTGTGTGAATCCATCAAAAATATTCCAAATTATGTGACCAGCTAAGCCCCTGTTTAGATAAATGTTTGAATTAAATGATCAAATTAAATGATTAATGATCAAACTAAACCCATTTTCAAAAAAATGAGCTAAAACAACTGAAATAAACAAAAAAAATCCTAGTAAGCCACCTAGTGTACACTTGAAGCTACTGTCTGTGGAAGTGAAAAACGCACCAAAAGGACTGTTTGACCTTTGATTAAACAGTCTTTGGAAAGTGAAGCAAGTGAGCTATTCAGAAACTTTGGTACAACCAAACTGTGTCAATATTCACTATGATTAATTTTGTTTGGCCAAGAATATAGAACTCTCAGAAGGTGAAAAGAGGGTAAAAATTTTCATTGCTAAAATGTTGTTATCCTTTACATCATTTGGCCCCTTAAAAATTTGCTTGTCAGAACCAGCATTGGTTTGTCTGTCAGGACAATCAGCTTTATTGGTCACATGCTACACCAAGTATACTGTGACTTCTTAAGACAAGTAGCTATGGCTTTTGTTTAGATATTCAGCTGTAACTTCATACAATTAAATTAGTAAAGGAAAATAAGACAACTTTCTACAATTAACTCAAGAAAAACATATATACCTAAACCAATTATTAGTTAATGATCATTGGGTTTCTACAAAATTATAATCAAATACTTCTGCATCCTCTCTATTCCAATTCTAAATTCACCTGGCCTTAATCTGACTCTCCACTATTTTAACAAACTTGTTGATATCCTTGGCCATCAACTGCGGTTCCTCCATTGCTGCAAAGTGTCCACCTCGAGGCATGGGCGTGAAGCTCACCAGACGCCGGTACTTCTGCCTGACCCACAGCTCTGGAGTGTGCATTAGCTCATTGGGGAAGCAGGCGAAACCGGTAGGGACCACCACTGGGATTCTGAGGAGAAACAAGTGGGCCCTCTTCATTAATGTGATCCTGTGCAATTAAACCACCCCCTCCAAATTCATATTCCTGTCACTCACCTTGCATGTGGACTGTTGAGACCTCGGCTAAAATTTTCCTTATAAAACCTCATGGAGGAGGTGATGCAGCCTGCAGTCCAGTAGATCATGACATTGGTGAGCAGGTCATCGAGAGAGAACTTCCTGAACCATGAGAAAGAACCGGAATATTCAGTGTATCCAGATCACAACTTACAGGATCAAACAAGTATTGCATGTTGTCAATTAATCATTAATCTTTGTGCATCATTGACAGTGGACGTGTTGTTGTGACTCCTGCATAAATGTGTTATTTTTATTGTATATTGTAAGTGCTTATTTATTTGATATTTTGGATTCTTGGATAAAGTACTTTGAGGTAAAAATAACTACCTGGTAAGTCCTCCATCCTGCAAGTTTCTGAAGTCTTTGCTTGTCCAAGTAGAGAATTTCTCCAGAATGTAAGCAGCTAATCCAACGGGGGAGTCATTGAGCGCCCGACCTTCAAACAAAAGTTTACTGTATGAACACTCACACAACAGAGAGGTCCAGCACCTGACTATCTAAGCCAGGAGTGTCAAACTCAAATTCACTGAGGGTCAAAATTAAAAACTGGAACTAAGTCATGGGCCAAACTAAATATTTATTGAAAAATTTCAATAACATCTGCATGTTTTCTCTTCTTTTGAGATATGTAATGTTAAGCATTTTCTTATTAAAATAAATGTTTAATAATAGTTTTGTTTAAACATTGAATCCAGAGCATAATATCCAATCCAAGCATAATATAAAATAATAACATTTTAAATAAATAATGTCTCTATAGCCTATCTGTAGCTTTTGAACTCCTTTTAATATTTTTTTTTTTCACAAGCCAACTAGTCAAAATGCACTAACACATTTGGCAAAGCATTCTGGGATTTGTAGTATTAGTGGTGCATGTGCAATACTGGCACGGCAGCCGGCGGGCTAGCTCTAATAAATATTTGATATGAGCTTGTAGGCCAAATATAATTATATCGCAGGCCAAATTTAGCCCCCGAGTATGACATGTCTGGTCTAAGCCTTAACATGTAGGTTGTCATTTAAGATATAACATTTAAATTCACAATAGACAGACTGTGTTGAACACAGGCTCTATATATTTTTGGTGAAATGCCTCACTCCTCACACACCCCAGACAACCCAATTCAGGGTTAGAGTAATTCTTTTCAACCCAAACTGATCAAAGGATCAATATTTTTATTTGTATTTATATTTTCATTGGACATGTTGTCATTCTGTGTTATCCTATTATCCCATCACATACCGAATGAACCTCACATGAGTCTCTCATTTTGATTGCCAATTGGAAAGTAACCTAAAAAAATGACTCTCTGGACTGATTCCTCACTGCGTAAACCCCAGCATCTTCAGCAAATCATTCATCAGTTATTCATTTGTTATGTTGTTTGCTCAATACTCTTACCCACGGTGTCCGGCTTGGTGGCCTGAATGTGCATGTAGCCAGTTTCGAGAAGGGGCTCCACCAGCAGTTTCTCTGCAGCGGGATACAGATGATCCAAGTCCAGGGGAGTGAAACTGAATAGTTTGGGGAAGCACTTTCCCAGTAGCATGGAGAGAGTTAGTAGCAGTCCGGGCTTTGAGGGTGGGGCGAAGTTCAAATGCAAGCCTGTGACTGTCCTGAAACAAAATGAGTCTATTCATTATTTGGAGTCTAAAATATAAAGGAGGAAGTGGTGGATTGGACTTTTACCTTGGTTCCAGTTGTGCCATGTTGGTGGTGACTATCCAGCCCCAGTCTCCTCCCTGAGCATAGAAGTGACTGAAGCCCAGGCGCTTCATGAGTTTGTGGAAGATACGCGCCGTGCACACTGAATCGAACCCTGCACAAAAACCCAAGGAAGGTCTACATGAACAAACGGGTACATGAGCGTTATTTTGGAATGCAAATGTTTAACATACATAACATTAAAATGTGAGCAAGAATGTATATTCACACCTTGTTGGGGACTCAAATTTGTATACACACTCAATTCAACAACAGAACTCAATTCAACAATGGGACAAAAAAATGTGGCCGTACAGAGACTGGAGATATTAGGACTCCCTTTGGACTGTCACTGCCTCAACAAGGAAATGTTCTATTGCACGTTCATAATAGACTGAGCTCACCTTTGTGATGTGGTGCTTCAGAAAACCCATATCCTGGAATCGAGGGGCACACCACCTCAAACACAAAGTGCCCTGCCTGGGAAGGCTCAGTTAATAGTGGGATCAGGCCATAGAACTCATAGAAGGACCCAGGCCAGCCGTGGACCATGATGAGAGGAATCAGCTTTGTGCCCTCAGGAACCACCTGGGGCTTCACATGCACATAGTGGACGTCAAGACCTGCCAACACACCACAGTCTATTCTGTATTCAATGATAAAGGCAAATAAATAAAGGCAACAGAGCAGGACTAACCGTCAATGTTGGTTTTAAAATGAGGATACTGGTTTATCTTCTCCACTTGCTTCCTCCAGTCAAAATCATTTCTCCAGTATGAGATGACTTTCTGCAGATGCTCAGAGTTGAAGCCATAGTTAAACTGGCTGTTGTGGAGTGAGGGCACAGGTCGTGTTTGGTCCATGCGCTGGTGGAGATCCTGTGAAGGAAACATTTTTGAGAAAGTGATACATAACGTCATATGTAATGATGTGGGGAAACAGACTGTTTACTATGCTCTGTAATTCCATTGAACAGCTAAGTTTGGCTAGAAGGTTAAAGGTTGATATATGCTTATGAACAGTTGGAACACACCTCTAGCTCTGCATCACTGGTGCTTAGTCGAAAAGGTCGAATTGTAGTATCCTCCTGGCCATCAGGTCTGTCTCCAACTCCCCACCACTTGTCTTCTGTCTTCAGGACTTCTGGCTCTCTCCACTTATTCACCACAAAGAAGAGAAGTGCCCCCAGCACAGCAGCCAGGAGGACCTCCAACAACATGGTGCCAGCAAATGGAGGAATACAGCCCTTTAGTACAATGCAATAATTTAAAAGATTAAAATGGAGAATTTTAATCTTCACTCTCCACCCTCACTAGTGTCAGAGGGTGAAGGTCTTTCACAGTTTACAAAGTGCATGTAAAAAATGTAATGTATTTATGTGAGAGTGGTTTTAAATATACACTGCTCTGTACACTGTACAGTAAATCCGGGCGATTTCCAGCATGTTTTTTATTATAATTATGATTATAATGTGAATATAAGTTACAGTAGCCTATTTTATACAGGTGTTACACCAATGATGGATGAGAATTCAAAAGTAATTGCCCACCCCTACTCTTCAGAGTCACTGATTGAGGTGGTCAAGGCTATATGAGGTGATGTTAGTGGTCACAATAGATTCATGTCATACAGTAGAGCCTGCACATTGCTGCATCTTAATAGTTATTATCTTAGTTTAAATGTATTAGTTTAAAGCTAAAATAATATAAATTTGAGACAAACCTTCAAAACATAACAATGGCAGTATTTTTATTGATATGGATATGCAAATATCCACAATCTTTATTATAACAATTAACAACAGTATTAAATATTTTAAAAAGAAACATTGAGAGAAATTATAGTGGTAATGGAAGAGGCTTGCACTGTTAGGCTGTAATAATAGTTTGAAAAATTATGGTTAAATTATTAAACAGATTACTTTTAATGCTGTCGAATTCTCAGATTCCAATGTTACGTGCTGAATGAGAAAAGAGGATTTAACACCAACAGTGGCCCATTGTCAATAGTACACAGTTCAACACAGTAGGTTTAGGTTTGGTGCGTACAAAGTTCATGCAACGAACAGATCGTTGCAGGAACCACGATCTGTTCGTATGGGGCTCACGTACAACACACTACTTAACTGAATTATGACTACTCTGCACGCTTTATGCCTAAATCATGTTTAAAAATCCTGCTTAGCCAACAGTGGGGGCGCTGTACGATCACTGATGAATGGCGCAGTCCGACAAACAAAATTTAAGTAACAATAGGTCCAAGTGCCTCTTACAGGCATCAGACAGACACAGCGCACACAACAGCGTCTTACCTGGGTACGACTCCAGCTGAAGTCAGCCTTTGGTGACGGTCCGAAACTCTGCACGAGCCTAGACGTCTCCAGGTGACGTATAAACCGCGGGAGCGCGGCGCGCGCACATTATCAACTTATAAGGAATGCGAAATATCCGATTCATTTTTTTTTTACCAAAATCAAAAGTCCACGGTAGAGTAACAGTTTTGCTCAAATGACAGTCAGTTACTTCAAAATTATATTATTCATGTAAAAAGCAGTGGTCCAAGAAATTAAGTAATGTGAAAACTGAAAAAGAGTGGGAAAAAATGCTTCTACTTAGGTAAGAGTATTTGTACAAGTAACTGTCTAGGTGTATTACTCTTAAATGAATGTGTGCTAATTGGAATGGAAAAAATAAGCATGTACATTATTCATTATAATCTGGTATTTTCAAAGACCAGAAAAATGAGTACAACTAAATCATATCTGAAGCAGTCGAGCATGAAACATATTATATGGTTTTCAACAAAGCTTTGGCAACTTGTAGACTTACAGTGGGAAGAGTAAACCAAACGTTTACAGGAGTCGGCGTGAAAGTATAGTGAATGAAGACTACACAGAGAAAACATGAACTGACCACTTATGAAAAATACCATTATTATCCTGTTTATTAAATGACAAGTCATAGATTATGGCAAACTTGTTGCTTTACTATGTCCTAAATTATGTTGCTCACATACAACCTTCATGCTCGTCTTCCCCAAGGACATAATGACAGTTTGTCACAAAGTAAAGCACTCAGACATGAGATAAAACATTTATTTTATGCATTTCTCAGTTAAAGAAACTGGGCTTTTCATCTCTGAAATAAACAGCCACCACATTTCTTCATGTGGCACAAGTCCATTTAAAAAAAAGTCCCCTAGCTCCTTTTATGACCCATCACAATAAAGAATTAATGTAGCTGTTTCTGAAGACAGCATTAGCGTAAAAAGTTCAAAAATGAAAGTGTGGGCCACATAATTAGGGCTCTTTGAGGAGTCACCTCAGTCCCCATTTGAACAGAGTCCAGACCTTCAGAACCAGAACATCTCAGTCCGTCTCCATGGCACTGTGAGTCTCCTTGGAAACCATCAGTCTCATTAGTTTTCCATGAAGCTTCTCGATTTTCTTCACATCCTGGGCCTGATCCGTTTTGTACTGTAAACACTTAAAAAAAAAAAAAAAAAAAAGTCAATTTGGAAGGAGCAGCTCAAGCACATTACAATGAACAGATTAAAATGAATAAAGTCAGACTGCTTGATTATGTATTTTAACATAATATTCATTTGAATTTAAAAAAAAATAATAATAATAATAAAAAAATCAATAAATCTTGCTTGTTTTAAAAGCTTAAGCCATCTGTAACTTTGATTTTTGTATTTATTTTTTTTATCCAGTGGACGGCAGATGTGAAACCTGTTACCCCCCTCCCCTCTAACCTCTCCCCTGACCTTTATGCAGGCTCACTTGTGGTCTCTGATCTTCTTCGACCAGGCCAAAGCTGGCTAATTATCAGACAGAAGTAACAAAAGTAGCATCTTGTATCTTGTGGAAAAGTGTGAGAATACAACAGGGGCGAATAGGCAAATTTAATTACAGAAGGTAGCTTTAAGTGCGGTAATATCCTAAAGGAAAAACTGTGGAATACATCATTTCCACTGTATTTTCAAAACTGCAAATTGTAGGTCAGCTTTACATTTTACAAATGCGATACAAATCCAACGGTAACAATAGAAGCGAATGCAAGACTGCCGTGTCCAGCTGTTGGATTACACATTTTAAGACATGGAATCCGAAGACCTTGTGAAGTTACTTACTTAACACACTGTAGCTTCTAAAAATAAATAAATAAAAATAAAAATCACCATCTCACACGCTCTAAAATCGTCTTCACCCTTAGCTCTGTCTGTGAGCACTCACCACTGCATTATCCGTGACTTTAATGCAAAGATTCCCGTCGCAGTGTCGGTATTTGAGGACCACTCGAACCTGAAGAAAAACAACACTCTTCAGTCATTCCAACTCGAGAGCCGAGAGCTAGCTAGAGGCTACATGCGGCGGACAACACCTTCAACAATGAAATAAAAACAAATCATACCTTCATCGGATCTGTCAAATATAGTTTTTCTGCTGCACGGGCGAACTCTTCCCACGTCTGAAAATGAGGCATTTTAGAGTAATTCTCTGGTGGCCTAAAAGGAGACGCTGTTCACAGTATGCTAATGAACTAGCCTAGCTCCCAAATAACACATCAGCAGCAACGTGCACTCAACCAATCATCGTTGAGCTCTTTCTTCTTTTAAACTAATGTGGGGAGAGCAAAAAAGTTGAAAAGTGCACTACTGCCACCTTTTGGATTGTAAGTTGAGTCACAGTCATAGACTGTACAGTCTGATCACAATAATATTATATAGGGGACATACTCCCCTCTAAATTCTCTTCTCCTCTAGTTTTTGAAAATTATTTCATGAGTGTGCCTCGGATTTTTCAGCCCACCTGTAGGCCTAGATTGTTTTCTTTGTTAAACCTTCTATTTATGTAAAAAGCATAGACTGGATTATTATTATTATTATTATTGTGATTTTCCACTAAAATATTTTAATTATATTTTCTATGAAAATATTGGTAGTTTTCTGCGTCGCTTAGCATAGCAGCGTCTCCTCTGTGCGTGGCCACCTCAAACCAGAGCAGCATAAATGAAGACGTGCCTCTTTCCAAACGGTCTTAAAGGACGATCGTTTTGACTGTTGACCCTGACACCCTCATGAGCAAAATGTCAAAAATGAGAAAAGTGGACGCAGAGTGCAGGTATTTCCAAGAAAAATGGACTTATTCCTATTTGCATACAAGTTAATGTTAAAACATTGTGTTGAAATTGCATTTTTCTTAAAGTTTCAGGTTGTTCATAATATTATAATATTTTGTAAAAGAAAGAGTTCATCAATTAAAAAATATTTCTGTAATAGATTTGTGTTTCTCTGCACAAATATTTGAACTTATTGCTATTTTTGGTATATATATGCCATGAGTTTCCTGATCCGGCCCCCTTGGGATCAAAGTAGGTTAGATACGGCCCCCGGACCAAAATGAGTTTGACACCCCTGTTCTAGAGGGACCAAGGACCGTTGTTCTGTCAAGCCATGAACCCGTCCGTAATGAGATAAATTAAGTTAGTTAAACATAGTCTCATTGCTGAAATAATATCTCATAATAGCTCATCTAGGCCAATCCATTTGCAACCATTTTGCAAATTCTGCCCTGACAAACTATTGACTATAGTGACTTATTTCCAACATGATTTCAACTAGTCTATAAATGTCCATGATCGTCCATTATTACCTTTGATTATATAACTTCATACAAACGGAGCTGCTGCTGTTGTCAGGGGCAACCTGCGTGCGCGGACCCTACAACTCCGCGTGCTATTCCACTGAGCGTGCGCGTGCAACAGCTGCGTCAAGTCAAAGCTGTTTTTTGTGCGGCATTTGGGTGCCTTTGGGAAGAAAGTCCACGGTGCGTATCCGAACTACAGCCAGGGTGTTACAAACACACACGAGACCCTGAAGGAGAGGATCATCTACACCAGTCTGTAGAGATGGAGGTGTACAAAAATTATAAAAGAGTGTGGTGAAGTCACTGCAACATGAGCAACGTATGACTCCTAGGAATATAGCAGGTCCCTGTCCCTGAACGCAGCACTTGTAGCAGCAGTAAGCGGCAGCAGAGCGGCAGCAAAGCGGCACTGCGAAGCATCACGTTGCCCCAGTGCGTCAGAGGAACCCAAGAAACTGTGGGGGTGTCCTGTCTTCAGACTTTTATTTTCGTTTAGCTAAACCCTCAGGAACATGTAGGATTTAACAGCGACTGTTGTACTTTTGGGATTTTTTTCCTCATTTTCCCCCATTTTTTTTCTCCCCCCCCTTCCAAACCCTCAACGGAGCAACACACCAACACAGTCATCTTGCCTCTTGTGAGCTGAACTACAAACTCGAGTCCGAACGTAGAGAGTGCAGCATTTGTTCTGACCGGTCGCTGCCATGAGGTAAGCGGGTCTTTTTGACATGTTGAGCCTTGAACTGTCCTCCAGGACCTGACCACTGTCACGGCCTCAGCTGACACGATGCCTCCAGCCAGCGATTAGTCCGTGAGCGTCCACTGCGAACAGCTCTTGCGGTTGAATGTAGCCGCAGCGAGAGCCACTGTGTCGGTTCTCTCTCGAGATGATGCGTTTCATGCATTGCTTTTGCATGGCTGTCACCGCTTTAGAGCTGGGCTGACGTTGGCCGTGTGAGATGGGCAGTATTCAGCAGATCCGTGCCACGGAGTGCACGTCTGCCCCCTTCATTGTAGGGTGCTTATTGGTCGGAAAGGCAGCGTTTAAAAAGCAGGGCAAAGGAGCTCTTGGAAACTTTTATCAATTGTATTTTTCAACAACTAAGGAACCAGGCCTTCGCTAGTTGAGTAGAGACACTTGTAATTTGCGTCAGTGTGTGCATTAGTAGGCCTATGGTTTACTTGGTCTGTAAGAATCGAGTTTTCCTGTGCTGTCACGCCTCTCCCTTTTAGAAGCCCCTAATTGATTCCAGCTGTGGGGCAGCTGTGGTTATGTGTGTAAGGCCCTGGAAGTTCTGAACTACTGAGGAATAATGTTGAGCCTTTTCACTGATGGTGAACAATTCCACTGCAGAGCCACTTCAAACTTTTATGAAAGACTGTGTGAGGATGTATTGAGGATTCAATTGGCAGCCTAATGTGTTAAAATCATGTAATCGTTTTCATAGTAGGCTACACAGGCTAGTATCCTGATTCTAACCAAACCTGCTGAAGGTTCTGGCTCTGAATATTACTAAAGGAATGGAAGGAATAGGCTCAATTCACCTGGTTGGCCCCCCACATCCTGAAGTTTTGGCTGTATGTCTGACTGGGCTCCTCATCATTTTCAACTGGAGTCTGACGAAGATCCCATTGGTTTAGACAAATTACAACCTGGCTGCGTAGTTCTGTTGCCCATCTCATAACTAGAGCAGGTTCTTTCTGACATCAGGCATCATGAAGGTGATGACAACACAACTTCCAGCATAGGATGTAAATGAGGGAGTTTGTGCAGTGGTCTTGGGCAAACAATTTGGCAAACCAGGTGGATAAAGCCAAGGAGATGGACACTAATGGAGCCCTACTCTTTCCAGCATCAAGAGATGAACACCAGATTAGATTGGAATGACAATAATGCTGTGGAGTACAGTAGAAACAAGTGACCTGTGGTCCTACACGGTGGATTGGGGGAGGAGCAACACCACCAAAAGGGACACTGTATGGGTGGAGAAATGTCACGTTAATGTAATGGCCACATGATGAGACTGATATTGGGAAGTCTTGTATAAAAACACACTCACAACTCTGGACATACTGTTTCTAATGTCATGTAATATAATGTCTGCTCTTGTCCAGAAAATGTTAATACCATTCAGTGGATTTGAGTTTGGGATTGGGTTTGAGTTCTGTTGGAACTTATTTGGACCTTAGAATTCTGTTATTTAATCACACAAACAATTTGTGCTATACTTCTTATTGCCGTCACATGACCTGATAACAATATCAGCGCTGATATATTATCAGTGTTCTGTATAGCTTTTAAAAGTTTAGTAAAATTGGCGATTTCTAACAAGGTTAGAAATTGTGTTCATGTCCAAGATAAAGCAAACTGGTATGTGTTTATCACGGTTATTACTCATAAATATTTAAAGTACTATGCTCAATTTATTTTAGGGAATATAAACCTAATTTTTTGTTATGTTCTCAATAACAAAGTTCTGTTTTATCCACATTTAGGTATTTTTCCATTTATTGGTCCTCCTCTTCAGAGCTCAAAATGCTTGGTTATACATGGGACTTTCTAAAATACATTAAAAAACAACGTGAGCATTTGGGAGTAACTTTGTTTCATATAATGGTGATGAACTCTTTGCTTTGTTTTCTTGTATGGGCTCCATCTATGGATATGATTTTGCAGCTGACCTGGCCCTGTCCTATTTTTAGATTCTGTCACTGACATCTGAGCTTGGATAGGGGCCAACTGCTCCTGGGGCTTTAGTAAACTGATGCCTCTAGCTGTATGGCTTCACACCCACAGCTGACTTGACCTGTGTTGTCTTGAACCACCAGTAAAACAAAAATCTTCCTCTGGACACTGCAAATGTCATTGTCGCATTTAAAGAGCAGATATTTCTTTGACATGAATGTGAGGAGTCAAACACTCTCAAAACATAACATAAAGCCCTTAGATTTTATAATAAAAACATACATTATATAAAAGATACATTATATGCATATTTTGTGTACACGATATATATTTTTAATTATCAGTTATAGTTCCTCATGCATTCTTTATACCGTCCACAGTGCCTCCAATACATCTGAGCAATAGTTTAGTTTTTCTTTCTAAAACAACTGTAGTAGAGACTGAACCCTGGTGAAATATTAGTGACCTAGACATGGTTGCCATCCAGTGCTCACTAGAAACCTTTCCCATTTGAAGTTGAGTCTCTGCTAAAGTATTCACATTCAGAGCTATGTTTGGCTTCAGCTCTCATGGCTAACTGCTAACAGTAATGACACATCCAATGACACTGTTAATCTGCAATGACAAATTGTCTTTGAACAACATGGACATGTCTGTTCTTTCGTTCACTCTGTGCCTTTGTGACCTGTGAACGCAACAGCTATTTTGGACCTGTTTTGGAGACCCAATGCCTCCCCGATGCCCCCCACTCAGCTGCTCTGCTTTAGTGTCTGTGCATGTGTGTTAGGGGTAGTGCTGGAGGGGGGCATTCACCCCTGTCACTGTCAGTCTGAATTCTGTGTCAAGTTAACTTCACAGTTGAGCAGAAAGCATACAGCAAACTGTTGAGTTAGGGGAACACAAGAACAACAACAAACGGTCCCGAAAAGGATTACCGGTGGAGGTGGAAAGACACCTGTGCCAAAATGACTCGAGACTCGTAAGTTTTCTGTAACTGGAGGATGAATGCATTAACTGGCAAATCCTTAATGCTTGACAGTTATTGGTCACTTGACTTTTGGAAGCGTCTGTTTTCTTTAACTGGAAGTGTGAAACAATACTTCTCACTCTGTTTATCACAACATGGTCCCAGGTTTGATTTCTGCACTAGGTTGTGTTTTGAGTTTGAAGACCTGTTGGGTGGGCCTCATATGGAAAGCCTCTTCTGGTTTCTTTTATCAGTCTAAAAGGAGCCTAGACCCTTTTTGGTCTAGCTGGAAACATCTTGGAAAGCTTTTCACACATATATAGAGTACTCCTGAAATTAAATGAAAGTTTTGTCAATGTGATCAACCTTTAAGTAGAACATGAGGCTTCACACTACTTGTCTCCATCTGAGAGCTCACCTCGTTAGTTGCTAAACGCTGCCTCGGCCATGACAGAACATCAGCCATAACAAACAGTATAATCTCTGCTGGACACTTTTCTTCCAGTTAAGAATATTAGCCTATTAGTGGGACTAACAATACTTTCTCAAAGTGTGAACTTGGTGCTTTTCATTTGTCCTTTAGTCATTTGTTGTTTGGGCTGTAATCCGATCTTCACTGATGAGCCATCTTTCAGTGCACACCGACAGTAACATGATCTGAACATTTGATAGTCTCTAGATTCTAGAACACAGCCGTGTTGGTGTCTCAAGGGACACGGTCACCCAGACCAACAGAGCAGCATGCTGCCAGGGCCTTGACCACACATGTGCACTGGCCTTGTGACTCGAAAGGCTACTCACACAAATAAGAGCATTTCTTTATACCATTAACAGAAAAATATCATAATGAATTAATTTCTATTGTTATTGTCATTTGGCTGATGCTGTGCACTGTGCTAAGTTATAGTTTTTGTTGCTGTACATCACATATATGTTTGATTGTGCTGTCAGAGCAGAGCAGAGTGTGAGTCAGGAGCAGAGTGGAAGAGCTGTCGGATGCACACAAATGTGCAATGACTGCTGAGCACACTCTCCCAGGTTCCACTACACCCACAGTACAGCCTGTTGCCTGGATACCCTTTGCACCAGCCATACTGAAGTAGCCATAGTGAGGAAGCCATGGGAAAGGCAGCGTTTGCAGAGTCTGGAAGACGTGTATGAGAGGAACGCCATGATCTCGCTTCGCTGAGGATATGGTGGAGGAGGGGTAGGCTTTGATCATGAATACAGATTTACAGTAGAATATGCCATTCAGCGTCATCCTCCAACAGAGATGTGCGCTGGCCTCCAAAATGGAAATCCACCGGTATGTACCTGCTAATACTCCAGTCCTTCTCATCCAGCAATGTTTTTTTCTCCAAACCACCGAGCGTTCGCAGCTGAAGTTTGGCAGAAGCATGGCACGCATGTAAATGCTATGTTCCTTGGCATTGGTGGAATAATTGTTTTTCCTCTTCTGGTTCATGGATTGAGACAACAAGAATGTGGGTTTCTCATATGAATAATTATAATAGAAGTGTTCCACAATTGTGTTTGGAAGATAGTGTGACTTGAGATAAAGCTCATGGTTTTCAGTGTGGAAAAGGAAAACCCAAAAATGTTGAGCCTGACCGTTTCGATAAGAACCTTGTCCTCTCTCTATTACAATAAAATCTGTATATGAACTGTAGTCCCTCCTCCTCTCCATTAAAAAGTCTAATTCTATGAAAATGTTGCGATGTCATCTGAAACCAAATGGAGTTCTTAAGTGTGCGCTTAGGTGCAAATGTGGCGGCCTGTGTCCCGCATCACTGTCTAAAGAAAACCTTTGAATATTCATAAACCTTGCATTCAGATTTGATTTGGCAGAAAGTCCTCAAGGGTGTTAGAGCAGTTTAAAGACTATATATATATATATATATATATATATATATATATATATAATTCTAAACTTTACCTGAGCCTCAGAAGTAGAGGAAAACATTTTAAATGCACCCATTGTACCACTGTTACTGTCTGAGTTGGGATTATCTGGCGAGAGGTTGAATAAGACAGACATTAAATTGTCTGAAAGCTTTATTTATTGATTGTACAAATATTTTTGGAGCAATTTCAAATTAAATACACAGACTTAGTTGTGAGACTCATGTTGTGTAAGATGCTCTTCCACATCCTTTCAGTTATACACTGTGAGCAGGAGATCACATCAGTGTATGGTTTTATCACTGATACAGTTCTAGTCCTGTTGAGTTCACATATACTGTCATGTCCAAACATTTTTCTTCTTTCATCCATGGTTGCCCACAAGGGACATATAACACTTACTTAATGAGATCTGCAGCTTGCAGTTATGTGTTGCTTAAACAGGCTGGTACAGTGGTTGATATGAATGCCTCGTTGTTCACTGTGCTTGTATATTGGTGTCCAGACCCGTTCTGCTGAAAGTGCTCACTGTGCTCTGTCTGTGTGTGTAAACATCAGACCAACAAGGTGTGGCTCTCATTAAACCAAAACTATACCACTTTTCATCCTTAATCAAAGGTTTATGCCTGAGATGCAACTACTGCTTTATTTGTGTGCTTTTTCTATTTAAATCAGTGGTGGAAACAAGCATATCTCTTAAAAATCGTATACTTCACTATATTATAGAGCATGTCGCAGTTGTATGAGTGCAGCTATATGCCATGGAGGGAAACGGTTTTGAATGCTTGATGCAGACTTGTAGATATAATGAAAAACAAAAGATTTTAATGTAATCACTGCATTTTTCTGACCTCAATGACAATATGCAAGGTATCAAGCTCTATGTAGTTGCCACTGCTATTTTATTTTGCAACAAAATAATTAATTGATTGTGCCCACGACCATAACATTTAAAATGTGTGTGATTATAGCGAGATTTTGCTGTGATATCACTAGCTTACATCTGTTTGCTGTTTGAACAGTGAACAGAGCATCTGCCAGGCGCGGGCTGCTGTCATGGTATACGATGATGCCAATAAGAAGTGGGTCCCTGCAGGAGGCTCCACTGGCTTCAGCAGAGTGCACATCTACCACCACACAGGAAACAATGCCTTTCGGGTGGTAGGACGCAAAATACAGGACCACCAGGTCAGTATCTGGTAGCCTATCTATTCATGTTCTATACATGAGATGCATTTTACTGCTTTAATGCAAACCTTCTGTTTTTTATTAGTTAGCTGAGGGCACAACCTAGTCATGCTGAGCATATAAAAACGTTTGATTGCGAGATTGGAGATTTTTGATTAAATAGTCTTTAACTAGTACTTTTTATGGGGACAATTTATGACTGAAGCATGAAGGAAGAATGGGTTAGATAAAAAAAAAAAAGTCAACACCGAGGGACTAGTGGGAACCTGGTAGAATAAAATTTCAAAAGTTTGAGTCATGTCTATTGTCTCTGGTCTTTTGAGCAGGTGGTGATAAACTGTGCCATTCCCAAAGGCCTGAAATATAACCAGGCCACACAGACGTTCCACCAGTGGCGTGATGCCCGACAGGTTTATGGCCTCAACTTTGGAAGCAAAGAGGATGCCAATGTATTTGCCAGTGCCATGATGCATGCACTGGAAGTGCTCAACTCTCAGGACACAGGTGAGAGTAGTGTAAGCTGCAGTCACATGAGGTCCCACTTAGCAAATATTGTATGGTTCTTAACATATTTATTGTTAAAAGTTACAGTGTTTTATGTTTTTTAATTATTACAATTTTTGATAGGATAGTACCTGTTGTCAATTGTTGTATGTGAAGAAAGGTTGAAAAATATAGGAAGTAGCACTAAGATCTCAAAAAGAATCCCTCAATCTATGTCATCAGTACACACAATTCACTCCAAAATGCACTAGGAACTTCTGTGAGAGCAGGGAGCAGACAGAAGTGGACAGGAGCAGGGAGCTCTGAGAGGCAGGCAGGATAAAAGAGGGGCAACTCTAGCTCAACTATAAAAGTCATAGGAGCCAAAAAAAGAAATGTATTTTGTTAATTAACTAATTTAGCTAAATATTGTTTCATATTAACTGGCTTAGTTTGGTTTTAAATATTATGTTAATACAACAGACTGTATAAATAAGTGGACTAAGTGAGTGTGTCGTCACCCATAGTGTTCAGCTCCACTCAAATGAAACTTGTGATGCTTGTGAACTGTTACAGGTGTGAACTTGGAGCCAGGCTTTATATTATGAATAGGATTTTTTGAATGGACAAATTGCAAAAAAACAAAACAAAAAAACACCCAAAAAAACACCTGGATCATGTACTCTGTGGGTCAATACGAACATTTTAAGACCAAAATGACAAGGCTCACAGCAGCAGTTACAGAGAAAGGCAAGAATATTCCAATGTAAATCAATAGGCTCCAGGGTCAGAAGGAGCCGGAAGTGTGTGCCTCCAAATTTCCTACTAGGAACATAGTAGCCAGCATGTCAGCTCTGTTCATTTATATGCAGTCTATGGTTACCACTAACAGTTAAAATAGAGATGAAATGTGTCCGGACCCCGAGTGGGGTGGGCCATTAAGTTTGTGGCCCTTGAGCAAATTTAGTTGGAGAACCCTGGCTATTTGTATTTTGCATCATAATCTCAATTGATTTAACTGTAGCTGAACTGAAAATGTGAAGTCGCATCAGTAGACATTCATCTGTCAATCATGCTAACTATTTTTTAGTGAAATGTATAGTCTAACCTCCCACAGGGACTTAGTTTTAAAAAGTGGTGTAGTTGCTGCATTTTGGATTCTCGTTGCTCCACTCTTTTTTTTTTTTTTTTTTTCTCCCAACAATACAAGTTTTCTCAAAGAATGAGTGGGTGTCCTAGCCTGACCCTTTTAACTGAGATGAGCCAGCAGATTAGTGCTGAAAATGCAGAAGACGTTCTTTGGATATATTTTTATAATAATTGGATTTGTTGTTTTTACTTTCTTTTTATTCTCAAAACCTCCTGTGCCATTATATTTTTCTGATGACAATGGAGCCTATGGAAGCTTTAGTTGTGTTTTTATCACAAATTTGCCATGAGTAAAGGTTTGTACATATAAAATGTCCATTTTACAGAATGCAATAATGCCTCACCAAAATGTGTTAGAAGTTGCCTATTCTAACATCTCACTATAACTGTAACCAAGTACTACATTACTTGGCATATTAAACTAAAACATGCTACAGTAGTAGCTTACCATGACTGAGTGTGAATAAATAATGCACTGTAAAGTGTCTAAAAATGCTCTATAAATTTAATGCATTACTATTTTTATAATTGGTAAACATAGGGCTTTGAGGTTTTTTAATCTATAATCATATATAATAAAACAGGTCTACCTTTTCCACGCATTTTTCACTGGTGGATCTAGCGTGAGCACTGCTCACTAACAGGTCACAACTACAATGCACAGTACAATGCATTTGGAGTAAAGTGATCGTTTGTGCTCAGTGACCTGGCACAGCTGCTGCACTAGGGAGGGTCTAACAGCTGTGCTAGATTTGTCTCATTATAAACACACAGGAAACATTGCTTAAGTGCACCTACTTACATTATTCTTAGTTTTTATTCTGTTTTTAGTTTTGGTATTTATTGGATCTCGCTAATTATAGCACAATATGTAAATGCCAAAATTATTAACAAAGAACTCTAAACTGTGATGCCAAATCAATTTTCATTCAGGTACATACTGAGTCACAAGGGTCTTTTCTAAGTCTCACTTCCTGCATGTGGCGGATGGTGTATTTTGGGGCTGGAGACAGAAAGCCGAGAAGGACGGTGGGGCAACTACACCTCTCCATCACTGCTGTGGCTGACAGGCAGACGACCCAGAGCCAGGGCTTGTCAGAGCCTCCCCACAGTCATAGGAAAGATGATGACACAAGCTTCAAATATGTGCTTAGAATAGTCTCAGATCTGCCTGGAAACATTGAGTGCTAATGCAGGGTTTCAGATGACATCACAATATTCTATAGCCCGTACAGTTTATTTAAAGACCCCCTATGTGTTATTCTTGCTTTTTATTATATACACATTTTGAAACTTGGAATTGGATGTTGGTTAACGTTAAGGTAGCAGAGACATGTTTCATGAGGGCTTTACTGACCATGGTCACTGATAATTCTATGATAATTCCTTCTGACTGGCTGAGGACAGAGCCACTGATACCCCAAAAAGTGTAGACTCACACACTTGTCTTGAATGTTCTACTGCAAAGATTAAACCAATCTATTTTTAGGGAGACAATCATAGGCTATATTACAGATCAGATCTGTGGAGAGTCACCCTTATACACCATCATTGTTTTTCTGAGCAGAAACACATGTAATGAAGAAATGCTAGATGGATATGTTTAATGTCATACCATGGAACATTCCAGGCAAAGTAATAACATCTTCATGGAGACAAGTGTATATTTAATAGACACTTAGCAATGTGTGTGTGTGTGTGCACTGTTGTTGTTTTAAACCTTGAATATGCAAGGTTTTCATTGTTTATTTCAATATAGAACAATTTGGAGCAACTT